AGCCATCTCCCTTTCCACCCAGGCAGTCTCTGGCCAATGCGCTCAATAAGCGGTTGCACATGAATTTTTCGAAGTTTTCGGAAGTGCAGCTGCAACCCTAAATACTGGCAAGGGAAGTCACCTCTGATTCCCGCAAAAGAAGACAGGATGTGCTCCAAATCCAGTTCGTCACACCTAATCGGGTGAATTGAGCTTTTCTGCAAATTTATGTGTAGGCCTGAGAAATTCCCAAATGCTTGGAGGACTGTTTTGATAGCTTCCAGATCTTCCTTTATGGGGTTGATGAAAATGGCAGCGTCATCTGCATACATGGAGATCCTCCACCTTGCTGCAGCCGAAGGCAAGGGAGAGAGGATTCCTTGTTGTGTGGCTAACTCCAGCAGCCGTTGCAGGGGATCCATGGCGAGGATGAAGAGCATGGGCGATAGGGGGTCGCCTTGGCGAACCCCTCTACCGTGGCTGAACTTAGGTCCTTGTTGGCCATTTAGCAACACCGTTGAAGTGGCCGTACGGAAAAGGATGGATACCCATTCGCGCCAACGAGGCCCGAAGCCCAGGGCCTGCAGTACCTCCAGTAAGTAGCTCCAATTGATCGTGTCAAAAGCTTTATGGATGTCTAGCTTCACGAAGAGGGACGGGGTTTTTTGTTTGTGCAATTTTTGTACTGTGGTCTGGACATATAAGAAGTTGTCATGGATGCTTCTCTTTTTTATGAACGCGCTCTGACAATTGGATACCAACGAGTTGAGTAGAGAGGCAAGCCTGTTGGCCAAGAGCTTTGAGAAGATCTTTGCAAAGCTGTGGATAAGACTGATGGGTCTATAATCTGTGATCCGCAGTGCATCTTCTTTTTTGGGGAGTAGGACAATGTTCGCCGAGTTCATGAGTTCGAAGCCCTGGGAGTTCAGTTGGAACAAATTATTTATGGCCGCCGTGACGTCGTCTTTGATGGTCTCCCAGCAACAAGAGTTTATCGTCAATGTGTTTGGCACAAGTAGAACTATTCTTTCTCAAGCGTTAATTGCTAATGCTGCACTATTGAGGCCAAGATACATGCATGAATTGGTGGCTGGCAGGTGTGGCACCCGCCACAGCTTGCCAGATAGGTGGTTCCGCCCCTGGATATGTTTGATATTGGATTAACAGCTTCAGTGAAATGTTCGAGATTGTCTAGAATCACTTGTATCATCATATAGCCTCTTCAGGGGATCGAAATTAGTGTTTTCGAAGCTGATATTCGTTTTACCAGTAGTTTCATAGGACAGACTCTTTCCTACCATTTCCTATATCGAGAAAGTTCTTCTCATCTAATGCCTGAGTGCTCCAATTGTAGCGGGTCCTAGTATTCCTTTACAAAGTGCATAATTGTAACTTGCGTACTGAGTTCAGGCTTAATCAGTTGATGGTTGTATACTTCTTTTCATGATTGGACGCAGGTTGGTGCCCATGGCACTGGTGCAACATTACCTCCGGTTGATGAGCAAGTCATCAGCATGAAACTGGTTACCCCTGCCAAAGGGACAATAGAGTTATCGAGGGAGAAGGATCCTGAGTTGTTTTATCTTACTCGCTGTGGACTTGGTGGCCTAGGCGTCGTCGCAGAAGTTACCCTGCAATGTGTAGAAAGACACCAGCTTGTGGAACATACATTCGTTTCCAATGCAGATGAAGTCAAGAAAAACCACAAGTAATGTTTCTTGGTGCCAATCTTTATGTAGCTTTATAATTGGTTTTCCTATGCAGTTGTAACATCCTCAGATTTACTCCTTTCTCCCCTTCTGCAGGAAGTGGCTCTCAGAAAACAAACATATTAAGTACTTGTGGATTCCATATACTGACACGGTTGTTGTTGTCCAATGCAATCCTCCCTCAAAGTGGAAAACCCCAAAGTTGGGATCAAAATATGGAAAGGATGAAGCTTTACAGCATGTTCGGGACCTTTATCGCGAGTCACTGAAAAAATATAGGTACGTACACTTGTTACAGTTTGATACCCTTCTTAGCCTTCTAATAAATTCTAATGCTATTCTGGTGTTCTGTACGCAAATGCATCTTTACTTTCTATTCTCTTACCGAAGAATCAGCTCAATATTCTCTTGCTTAGAAATGAGTGGTGATTCCAGTTTTCACTAAAAAAAAGGTGACGCAAGAAGTGTAAGTTGGGCTTTTGTGGCTTCTAGCTAGTTAATTAGTATACAGACATAGAACCTTTGAGCATTCAGTTCCTGTACTTTAAATCGATATGCACTGAAAATCAGATATATTGGTTTATACAGTCAACTAGGATACTCAAATGTTGTTGCCATTCTACTCAAATGAAGTAAATTATGAAATTATTTAGTTTTCTGCAGAATTTTGTAGCTGTATTCTGCAATATATTTGTTTGTTTTTTCACTTACGCCACCTTATAGATGCTTTTCAGAACTGAAGCAGAAAGTAATGACCCAGACATAGATACACTTTCATTTACTGAGCTGAGGGACAAGCTGCTTGCTCTTGATCCTCTGGATAAAGATCATGTGATGAAAATCAATAAAGCGGAAGCTGAGTATTGGAAGAAGTCAGAAGGGTATCGCATGGGCTGGAGTGATGAAATACTGGGCTTTGATTGTGGTGGGCAGCAGTGGGTTTCTGAAAACTGCTTCCCCACTGGAACCCTAGCAAAGCCAAGTATGAAGGATCTTGATTATATAGATAAGCTGCTGCGGTTGATTGAAAAGGAAGAGATACCCGCACCTGGACCTATTGAGCAGCGTTGGACAGCCCGCAGCAAAAGCCCAATGAGCCCAGCATCAAGCTCTGAAGAAGAAGACATATTTTCATGGGTAATTAATTTGTTCTTGTCCAATAGTTCTTTTGTTTTCTGTATGTTTAATCTGTGCTGCTATTGCCACTTGTAATCGCCTACCTAAAAGCTCTTTTGCAACTCATACTAATTTGTTTGTATTGATTTCTTTGCTTATAATTTGGTTAAAAAAAGTAATATTTTGGTAATTAAATTCGGTTCGCCTGATTGGAAAAATGTGATATTTTGCAATTCGATTGTGTCCTCTACTCTCTTCTGATAGTTTCTGCTAAATATAGTAGCATAACTTGCTCACTTGCTTCCTCTACTCTGACAAATACAATGGGAAATCCTTTCTTCAGTATAGATGATAGTACCAAATTGTTCTACTGTATGTATGTTGTTATCTTTCTCGTGTTTCTGAGACAATCACGTATATTCCGAAACAGTTGCACATTCCAACTCTTAACTGCTTTGGAGAGCTCACCTCCTGCATCTTCAAATAAATCATATGCAAGGCTCGTCTTGCAACATGGTTCCATTTTACACCAGTTATGTATAGTCTCGGTGACCAACTTACTGGTATCCATGCAGGTTGGTATTATAATGTACTTGCCAACAACAGATGCTCGCCAAAGGAAGGAAATTACAGAGGAGTTCTTCAACTACAGGAGCCTGGCACAAAGTCTCTGGGATGATTATTCTGCCTATGAACACTGGGCCAAAATTGAGGTACCAAATTTTACTAGTAGTTTCAAGATTTATTCAGACATTGGTTGTGTTATTCCTGTTTCCTAGGCTGCACAAGTGAAAATAGCATCAGTCTGGTTAATTTCAAAAGTATGACCTCTTCACTTGCACGGATACCTGGTTTAGTTATTTATTTGCAAATAAATTTCATGGCTGGTGATTATTCTGTCTCCATTCTTCCTAGGTTCCAAAAGACAAGGACGAACTTGCTGAAGTCCAGGCCAGACTTAGGAAGCGTTTCCCTGTGGATGCATATAACAATGCACGTATGGAGCTGGACCCCCACAAGGTTCTCTCAAATGCGAAGCTAGATAAGCTGTTCCCAGTGTTGGAGCCTGTTCACCAAACAAAGTAGCACGTGTTAAAGAGCATAGAGCAAGGGCACATAACTTCGTTTGTAACACTGTTCCTACCATGATTCTATGATCCTGTCAAATGAGATGGTGATTAGGATTTGTCACTCGAAATAAAGTAGAGGAAACAAATTGATGATTCAATCTGTGGCAGCAGCTAGCACCGGAAGCAAATCCTGTTCCTGACACAGTTATTCCCTGTGTGAATTTCGTCCTCTGACTGAGGACACCTGAAAAATGGGATCAACCAAGCGATCAACCATCAAATCTGTAAATTCTCTGTTAGTTTTCTTTTGACAGATGAGCAAATTTGCAGTAGGAGCATAGGATTGTTCAACTATTTTTTCTAAGAGCCTGAAAAGGATGCAAAATCAGTTGTGTGGCTCTTGCAAAACAAAACCTCGCATTTAGATGTTTTTTACCTTTTTATTAACCGATGGGCCTGACTATCAGGTAACTTTAACATATTCTTTCCTCTTTTCCTTTTTTTAAAGAAATCAGTGAAAGAAAAAAAAGGGGAAATGACTCATGTCGCAAAACATAAATTGAGTAAAAAAATCATGAAATCCAATAGAATAATACGTAATGCTACACGGCACAACAACTTTTTTCTGGTTAGTATAAAAACGGCCTTCTCGAGTTCACGAACATGCCATGGACGCCCCTATCCATCCGTACGAACACGCGATGCGAATGTCACGGAGCAAATAGAAAAAAAAAAAAAGCTTTCCAGTTCCAAGACAGAAAAAGCCTCCTGGCCAACGCCCGTCGCCGGCCTGCTCCCAACCCGCCGCCCGCCTGCCCCAGCCCTCCGCCGCCGCCCAACGTTCCAGCTCCTGCCCTCATAGAGTCAACTACGCCACGGCGCAGCACTCGTGGCTGCACCCAGCTCACGCAAGCTGCTCTGCTTCACCTATCCGGAGGCTGACGCGACCACGCCGTCGCCGTGGCCGCCGCCGCCGACGACGACGACGTTCCAGCACCTGCACCGATTCAACCACTCACAGCACTCGCGGTTCCGCCCAGCTCGCGCGAGCTGCTCGCCTGCTCTGCTTCGCCGTCCGTGCCTCTCCTCGCTGGGCCACATTACCCTCGCTCCGTCGCCCGTCGGCATGTCCCGCCGCGTGAGCGCCTCCCACGACCGGTGCTTGGATCTGGAGCGCGCCGCGATAGGCCGCGCAAGGTCGGGGAACCTCGGCCTCGATGACGCGCTCAAGCTGTTCGACGAACTGCTTCTCCATGCCAGGCCTGCCTCGGTTCGTGCCTTGAACCAGTTGCTTAGCGTTGTGTCTCGCGCAAAATGCTCGTCGCCATCCAAGCTCGTTGTCTCCCGCTTCAACCGCGCAAAATGCTTGTCGCCATCCAAGCTCGTTGTCTCCCGCTTCAACCGAATACTCTGTGACTGCTCCAACAAGGTGGCTCCCAACCTTTGCACCTACAGCATCCTCATTGGCTGCTTCTGCCGCATGGGCCGCCTGGAGCATGGCTTCGCCACCTTTGGCCTCGTCCTTAAGACGGGCTGGAGGGTGAATGACATAGTCATCAATCAATTGCTCAAGGGCCTATGTGACGCCAAGAGGGTGGACGAGGCCATGGACGTATTGCTCCATCGAATGCCCAAAGTTGGATGCAAGCCCGACGTAGTTTCGTATAGCATACTTCTCAAAGGTTTATGCGATGGACGGAGAGCTGAGGAGGCACTTGAGCTGCTCCACATGATGGCTGATGGTCAAGGTAGTAGCTGCCCACCAGATGTGATGTCATACAACACCGTCATCAAGGGTTTATTTAGTAAGGGTCAGGTGGATAAAGCTTACAGCATGTTCTTGGAAATGGGTGTTTCACCGGATGTTGTGACATACAATACAATCATTGATGGCCTGTACAAAGCTCAAGCGGTTGACAGGGCCGAGGGTGTTTTTCAGCAGATGATTGATAAAGGTGTTAACCCAGACAATGGAACATATAATTGTCTCATCCATGGATACCTGTCAATAGGACAGTGGGAAGAGGTGGTTCAAAGGCTCAAAGAAATGTCCGCATGTGGTCTTCAGCCAGATGTTTTTACTTATGGTTTGCTTCTGGACTATCTATGCAAGAATGGACATTGCAGTGAAGCTAGAATTTTTTTTGATTCTATGGTTAGGAAGGGCATAAAACCTAATGTAACTATCTATGCCATTATGCTTCATGGATATGGTACCAAAGGAGCTCTTTTTGAAATGCATGATATCTTAAATTTGATGGTAGCAAATGGTATTTCACCTGATCATCGTATCTTCAACACTGTGATATGTGCATATGCTAAAAAGGCAATGATAAATGAAGTGATGCTTGTATTTATCAAAATGAAGCTGCAAGGTTTGAGTCCAAATGTTGTCAGCTATGCAACATTAATAGATGCACTTTGCAAGTTGAGAAGAGTGGATGATGCTGTGCTCCAATTCAATCAGATGATCAATGAAGGAGTGACTCCTGACATTGTAGTTTTTACCTCCCTTGTTTATGGACTTTGCACTGTTGACAAATGGGAGAAGGTTGAGGAATTATTTTTTGAAATGTTGGATCAAGGTATTCGCCCTAACATCGTGTTCTTCAACACAATATTGTGTAACTTATGCAAAGAAGGACGGATTATGGAAGCCCGAAGGCTCGTTGACTCGATGGTATGCGTGGGTGTGAAGCCTGATGTTATCTCATACACTATATTAATAGATGGCCACTGCTTAGCTGGTAGAATTGATGAAGCGGCAAAGTTACTTGACGGTATGGCCTCAATTGGTTTGAAACCTGACATTTTTTCTTATGATACATTGCTTAATGGCTTCTGTAAAGCTGGCACGATAGAGAATGCATATTCTCTTTTCCGAGAAATGTTAAGGAAGGGATTTACGCCTGGAGTTGTGACTTACAATACTATACTGCATGGTTTGTTTCGGACTCGTAGATTTTCTGAAGCAAAGGAACTCTTCCTCAATATGATTAAAAGTGGAAAACAGTGGTCCATTTACACATACAACATAATTCTGAATGGGCTGTGCAAAAACAATTGTGTTGATGAAGCATTCAAAATGTTTCAGAGCCTGTGTTCTAAGGATATTCAACTTAACATTGTTACATTCACCATTATGATTGGTGCTTTGCTCAAAGGTGGCAGAAGGGAAGATGCCACGGATTTGTTTGCTACTATCTCTACTTATGGTTTGGTTCCGAATGTTGTGACCTACCGCTTAATAGCAGAAAGTCTCATAGAAGAAGGGTCGCTTGAGGAGTTCGATGGTCTGTTTTCAGCAATGGAAAAGAATGGTATTGCTCCAAAGTCACGTATGTTAAATGCTATAGTTAGGAGGTTGTTGCATAGAGGTGACATAAGTAGCGCTGGGGCTTACCTCTCCAAGCTTGATGAGAAGAACTTCTCACTTGAGGCTTCCACTACTTCCATGTTATATCACTTTTCTCGAGGAAGGATTATCACCATCATGCAAAGTCCCTGCCTGAAAAGTATCGTTTTGTCAATGAAGCCAATAAGTGAGTGCTGAAAAAAAAAGAAATCAGTTTTTTGGCCATGCTCTGTGGTGTGCTTTGAATGATGAAATTCTTTAGAGAAATATTCTCTCATAACCTGTATCATGAGTCACTGAAAAATATATGTTCCACATATTGTGGTTTGGTACCCCAAAATTTCAATGCTCCTAGTGGCCTGGTGTTCTGTATGCAAATACATCTTTGCTTTCTATCTCTTACCGAAGAATCTGCTAAGTATTCTCTTGCTTAGAAATTGAACTGACATTAAAAAATAATTTTATTCTTGAAACTGTTGTATTCATTTAGGTTTTGGTATGTCGCTACACCATTTCTATCTGAGTGTGTCCACTCCTTCCTTTGTTTTTTCTTCTATTTATTGAACCTCTTGTAAGAATAATGGGTGATTCCTGTTGGAAGAGGGTATTTGTCTCATGAGTGATACAAGTGTTGGCAATGGAGGAGGAAAGATGCTTGCTAAAGGAATGAAATTACAGAGGAGTTCTTCAATTACAGAAGCCTGACACAAGCAAATCTCTGGGATGATTATTCTGCATATGAACACTGGGCCCAAATTGAGGTACCAATTTCTACTGCTAGTTACAAGATTTTTTCAGACATTATTTCTGTTCTTTCCTAGACTTCTTTGAACACATGAATGAAAATAGCATCAGTCTGATTAATTTCAAAAGTATGACCTCTTCACTTGCACGAATAGCTGGTTGAGCTCTTTATATCTGGATAAATTTCATGCCTGGTGATTATTCTATCTCCATTCTTCCTTAGGTTCGAAAAGAGAAGGACGAACTTGTTGAACTACAGGCCAGGCTTAGGCTTAGGAAGTGTTTCCCTGTGGATGCATATATTGTAACAAGGCATGCATATATTGTAACAAGGCACGCCAACTCCGCCTTGTTTCATCTGCATGCAAGACACCGCAAGAGGAGAAACTTTGTTAGCAGACTAATTTCAGAAGAAGGGCTGATCCTAACAAGCCATGCAGAGAAGGAAAAGAATGTTTTTGAGTTCTATAGCAGCCTCTTGGGGAGAGTTCAGAGAGGGAGGTCACCATTAATCTTGATGAGTTGGCCATCCCAAATTTTGATCTTTCAGAATTAGAAGTCCCTTTCTCAAAAACTGAAGTATGGAGGACTATCAACATGTTACCGGCCGACAAAGCACCTGGGCCTCATGACTTCACAGGAAAGCAGACGTAATGGCAGCAGTATCTGCTGTTTGGAGTAGAAAAATGGCGAATCAAGAGATCCTTAACTCGGCCTAGATTACTATCTTGCCAAAGAAAGAAGATGCCACAAGTATTAAAGACTTCAGGCCAATAAGTTTGGTGCACTCCTTTGCCAAACTTATCACAAATATTTTAGCCAATAGATTGGCTACCAAGCTGGATCAAATGGTTTCACCCAATCAAAGTGCCTTCATAAAGGGTCGATTCATACAAGACAACTTCATGCTGTGCAGTAAACGGCAAGGTTTCTACACCAACAAAAACAACCTCGTATCTTGCTAAAGATGGACATCACAAAGGCATTTGACTCTGTGTCGTGGCCTTTTCTGTTGGAAGTCATGAAAAAATTGGGTTTTGGGCCTATATGGTGTGACATCTTGAGTGGGCTGCTAGCCTCTTCCTCCACTCAGATCCTGCTTAATGGCATTCCGGGGGACAAAATCTTGCATCGGTGAGGGCTCCGACAAGGCGACCTGTTGTCTCCAATGCTGTTCATCCTGGTGATGGATATCCTGTGCTATATGGTCACAAAGGCTGTAGAAGCTGACTTATTTCAACCCCTTGCTAGACGAGCTCTCCAGCACCGTATTTCTCTATATGCTGACGATGTGGTTATCTTCCCGCGTCCATCAGCCAGTGACCTGGAAGTCATGCTGGACTTATTAACACTCTTTGGGGAAGCTTCCGAGCTAAAGACAAACATGCAGAAGAGCAGTGTGCTACCTATCCAGTGCATGGAAGAGGAGAAGGCAGCAATACAGGAGCAGCTTCCTTGTCAAATGTTGGATTTTCCTTGTAAGTACCTAAGAGTTCCTCTCTCTCTGCAGAAGCTAACCAGAGCTCAGGTTCAGCCAATCATAGACAAAATTGCAGATTGTCTTCCAGGATGGAAGGCTGACTTATTGACCAGGGCAGGGAGAAAAATCCTGGTGCAATTTGTACTCACATCCTCGTCATGGCCTTGGATCTCCCAACTTGGGCCCTTAAGGCCATTGACAAAATTCGAAGAGGATTTCTTTGGGAAGGAAGGAAGGATTGGTGAAGGGTGGACACTATCTGATAGCCTGGCCCAAAGTGACATGACCACCTAAACTAGGGGCTCTGGGCATATCTAGCTTACAACAGCTTGGATGGGCGCTGAGAATGTGTTGGCTCTGGCTGAAGACAGAACCAGGCAAGCCTGGGCTTCCTTTCCCATCCAGGTTCACCCCTCGATCCAAGCTTTTTTCTCCTCTGCCACTAAATCAGAAGTTGGAAATGGGATGAACACTTCATTCTGGACAGATAGATGGCTCCATGGGTAGAGGCTGTACCATCTTGTTCCAAACTTGTTTGGTGCAATTCCTACCAGAGCAAGGAAGAGGACAGTTCACAATGCCCTCACTGATCGGAGATGGGTTGCTGATATCCACGGAGCTCTTACCTTGGCTGTCTTGACTGAGTTCTTACAACTTTGGGATCTTCTCTCTGATTTTCGCTGCAACCAGAGGTTGAGGACCTTCACATACGGCAGTTTTCTTCTTCAGGTAGATACTCGGCAAAATCTGCCTTATGAATCTCCCTGTTCATCGGAGCCACCCTTTTCTGACCTTGGGGGAGGATTTGGAGAAGCTGGGCCCCTGGCAAAATGCAAATTCTTCATGTGGCTGGTAGCCCACAACAGATGTTGGACAGCCAACCACCTTGCTAAGAAAAATTTGCTACATCCAGAGTGCTGCCCTTTGTGTGACCAAGAGGAGGAAACAATTGATCATCTGCTTGTCTCTTGCGTCTTCATCCGGCAATCTTGGTTGTGTACTGCAGAAAGTCGGCTTGCATGCTTTGACCCCACAGCTAGAGGTTTCCTTTGATGACTAGTGGGATGCAGGAAGCAATAGAGTAGAAAGTCAAGCTAAAAAAGGCCTGAATTCCATCATCATTCTTGGGGTTTGGTCAATCTGGATTCATCGAAATCGGTGTGTGTTTGATGGGATTACCCCTAACCTCAATGAAGTGCTGTCAGTTCTGATAGAGGAGATACGCCTATGGAGTGTGGCTGGAGCTAGAGGAGTCTCTCATCTCCTCACCCTGCCCCCTTTGCAGGTTTAAGTTTCTGTCAGGATTTTTTTCTCTGGGTCAGGTCCTACCCCTCTTGGTATTAGGTGTTTTTTATTTCTGTTTTTTCCTGCAAGGTTCCCTTAAAAACCTGGCTGTACCTTGGGTTTCTTAAACCCTTTTCTTCTTAATATATTGATACACAGCTGTTCTGTGAGTTCGAGAAAAAGAAAAAAAAAAAACACAAGGGGATATCCTTGCTTCAGTGTCGATGATAGTACCAAATTGTTCTACTGTATGTAGTTGTTATCTTTCTCATATTTCTGAGACAATCACGTATATTCTGAAACAGTTGCACGTTACAACTCATAACTGCTTTGGAAAGCTCACCTCCTGCATCTTCTGATAAATCATATGCAATGCCCGTCTTGCAAAACCTGGTTCTATTTTACACCAGTTATGCATTGTCTCGGTGACCAACTTACTGGTATCCATGCAGGTTGGTATTATAATGTACTTGCCAACATCAGATGCTCTCCAAAGGAAGGAAATTACAGAGGAGTTCTTCAATTACAGGAGCCTGGCGCAAAGTCTCTGGGATGATTATTCTGCCCATGAACACTGGGCCAAAATTGAGGTACCAATTTTTACTACTAGTTTCAAGATTTATTCAGACATTGTTTGTGTTATTCCTGTTTACTAGGCTTCACAAGTGAAAATAGCATCAGTCTGGTTAATTTCAAAAGTATGACCTCTTCACTTGCACGGATACCTGGTTGAGTTATTTATTTGCAAATAAATTTCATGGCTGGTTATTATTCTGTATCCATTCTTCCTAGGTTCCAAAAGACAAGGACGAACTTGCCGAAGTCCAGGCCCGGCTGAGGAAGCGTTTCCCTGTGGATGCATATAACATGGCACGTATGGAGCTGGACCCTTACAAGGTTCTCTCAAATGCGAAGCTTGAGAAGCTGTTCCCAGTGTTGGAGCCGGTTCACGAAACAAAGTAGCACGTGTCAAAGAGCGTAGAGCAAGGGCACATAACTTCGTTGCAGGAGGCTTAACCCATCCACATTTGTAACACTGTTCCTATCATGATTCTATGATCCTGTCAAATGAGATGGTGATTAAGATTTGTCACTCGAAATAAAGTAGAAGAAACAAATTGATGATTCAATCTGTGGCAGAAGCTAGCACTAGAAGCAAATCCTGTTCCTGACAGTTATTCCCTGTGTGAATTTCGTCCTCTGACTGACAACACCTGAAAATGGGATGATGCAAGCGATCAACCATCAAATCAGTAATTTCTCTGTTAGTTTTGTTCTGACAGATGAGCAAATTTGCAGTAGGTGCATGGGATTGTTCAATTTATCAGTCATCACACTGCTATTTTTTCTAAGAGCCTGAAAAGGATGCAAAATCAGTTGTGTGTGGCTCTTCCAAAACAAAATCTCGCATTTAGATGTTTTTACCTTTATATTCACCGATGGGCCTGACTGTCAGGTAACTTTAACATATTCTTTCCTCTTTTTTTAAAAAAAATCAATGAAAGAAAAAAAGAAGAAATGACTCATATCTCTATGCAAAACAAAAATTAAGTAAAAAAAAATTCTTGAAATCCAGTAGAATAATACGCAATGCTACACGGCACAAAAACAAAACAAAAACAAAAAAACCCAGTCCGTCCAGCCTTCCAGTTCCAGGTCTCCAGGACAGAAAAAGCCGCCTGACCAGCAGCGCCTGCCGCCGCCGCCCGACGTTCCGGCTCCTGCCCTCATAGAGTCAACCACGCCAAGGCACAGCACTCGCGGCTGCACCCAGCTCACGCGAGCTGCTCTTCTTCACCGATCCGGACAATGCCGGTGCTTGAGCTGGAGCGCGCCGCGAGCACCTGCCCTCGCCGATCCAACCACTCCACGGCACAGGTCGGCTACGGAACCTCGCCTCGATAAGCTGCTCGCCTACTTTGCTTCGGCCGATTCGACGCGGCGGCGCCGCTTCTCTCATCCGCCGGGCCAGATTAGCTCGCTCGTTGGCATGTCCCGCCCTTCCCAAACCGGTGCTTGAAGCTGGAGCGCGTTGTAGGCCTCGCAAGGTCGGGGAACCTCGGCCTCGAAATGCTGTTCGACGAATCGCTTCTCCATCCAAGCTCGTTGGTTCGTGCCTTGAACCAGTTGCTTAGCGTTGTGTCTCGCGCGAAATGCTCGTCGTCATCCAAGCTCGTTGTCTCCCACTTCAACGGAATGCTCCGTGACTGCTCCAACAAGGTGGCACCCGACCTTTGCACCTACAGCATCCTCATTGGCTGCTTCTGCCGCATGGGCCGTCTGGAGCATGGCTTCGCCGCCTTTGGCCTCATCCTTAAGACAGGTTGGAGGGTGAATGGCATAGTCATCAATCAACTGCTCAAGGGCCTCTGTGACGCCAAGAGGGTGGACGAGGCCATGGATGTATTGCTCCTACTGATGCCCAAAGTTGGATGCACACCCAGTGTAGTTTCATATAGCGTAGTTCTCAAAGGTTTATGCGATGGAAAGAGAGCTGAGGAGGCACTTGAGCTGCTCCACATGATGGCTGATGGTCAAGGTAGTAGCTGCCCTCCAAATGTGGTGTCATACACCACCGTCATCAACGGTGTCTTTAGTGAGGGTCAGGTGGATAAAGCTTACAGCCTGTTCCTTGAAATGGGTGTTTCACCAAATGTTGTGGCATACAACACAATAATTGATGGCCTTTGCAAAGCTCAAGCGGTTGACACCGCCGAGGGTGGCTTTCAGCACATGATTGATAACGGTGTTAAGCCAGACAATGTGACATACAATACAATCATTGATGGCATGTGCAAAGCTCAAGCGGTTGACAGGGCCGAGGGTGTCTTTCAGCAGATGATTGATAAAGGTGTTAAGCCAGATCATGTGACATACAATACAATCATTGATGGTTTATGCAAAGCTCAATCGGTTGATAGGGCCGAGGGTGTCTTTCAGCAGATGATGGATAAAGGTGTTAAACCAAACAATGGGACATATAATTGTCTCATCCATGGATACTTCTCAACAGGACAGTGGGAAGAGGTGGTTCGAAGGTTTAAAGAGATGCCCGCACGTGGTCTTGAGCCAGATGTTTTTACTTATGGTTTGCTTCTGGACTATCTATGCAAGAAAGGAAATTGCAGTGAAGCTCAAATTTTTTTTGATTCTATGATTAGGAAGGGCATAAAACCTAATGTAACTATCTATGCCATTATGCTTCATGGATATGGTAACAAAGGAGCTCTTTCTGAAATGCATGATCTCCTGAGTTTGATGGTATTTCACCTGATCATTACATCTTCAACACTGTGATCTGTGCATATGCTAAAAGGGCAATGATACATGAGCTGATGCATATATTTATCAAAATGAAGCAGCAAGGTTTGAGCCCAGATGTCGTCAATTATGGAGCATTAATAGATGCACTTTGCAAGTTGGGAAGAGTGGATGATGCTGTGCTCCAATTCAATCAGATGATCAATGAAGGAGTGACTACTGGCAAGGTTGTTTTTAGCTCCCTTGTGTTTATGGACTCTGCTCTGTTGACAAATGGGAGAAGGTTGAGGAATTATTTTTTGAAATGTTGAATCAAGGGATTTGCCCTGACATCGTATTCTTCAACACAATATTGTGTAACTTATGTAGAGAAGGGCGGGTTATGGAAGCCCAAAGACTCATTGACTCGATGGTATGCATGGGTGTGAAGCCTGATGTTATCTCATACACGACATTAATAGATGGCCATTGCTTAGCTGGTAGAATGGATGAAGCGGCAAAGTTACTTGACGGTATGGTCTCAGTTGGCTTGAAACCTAACATTGTTTCCTATACATTGCTTCATGACTACTGTAAAGCTGGCAGGATAGACAATGCATATTGTCTTTTTCAAGAAATGTTGAGGAAGGGAGTTATTCCTGGAGTTGTGACTTACAATACTATACTGCATGGTTTATTTTGGACTAGGAGATTTTCTAAAGCAAAGGAACTCTACCTCAATATTATTAAAAGTGGAAAACAATGGTCCATTAGCACATACAACATAATTCTAAATGGACTCTCCAAAAACAATTGTTTTGATGAAGCATTCAAAATGTTTCAAAGCCTCTGGTCTAAGGATCTTAAACTTGACATTATTACTTTCAACATCATGATTGATGCTTTGTTTAAAGGTGGCAGAAAGGAAGATGCCACGGATTTGTTCGCTGCTATCCCTGCTAATGGTTTGGTTCCAAGTGTTGTGACCTACCGCTTAATGACAGAAAATCTCATAAAAGAAGGGTTGCTAGATGAGTTCGATGGTCTATTTTCAGCGATGCAAAAGAGTGGCTGTGCTCCAAACTCACATGTGCTAAATGCTATAGTAAGGAGGCTGTTGCATAGAGATGACATTAGTAGGGCTGGGGCTTACCTCTCCAAACTCAATGAGAAGAACTTCTCACTTGAGGCTTCCACTACTTCCATGCTTATATCACTTTTCTCGAGGAAGGAATATCAGCGCCATGCAAAATTCCTGCCTGAAAAGTATCGTTTTGTCAATGAAGCCAATGAGTGTTGAAAAAAAGGAGTTCAGTTTTTTGGCCATGCTCTGTGGTGTGCTTTGAATGATGAAATTCTTTAGAGAAATATATGTACACTTGTTATGGTTTGGTACCCCAAAATTTCAATGCTCCTGGTGGCATGGTGTTCTGTATGCAAATACATCTTTACTTTCTATTCTCTTACCAAAGAATTGCTAAATGTTGACTTTCTTACAAATTGAATTGACATTAAACAATAATTGTATTCTTGAAACTGTTGTATTCATTTAGGTTTTGGTTTGTCCCTACACCATTTTTGTCTGAGTCTGTCCACTCCTTCCTTTGATTTTCTTTCATATATTTTTTTGAAACAAAATTTTCTTCCATATATTTAACCTCATATGGGAATTATGGGTGATGCCTGTTGGAAGAGGGTATTTGTCTCATGAGTGATACAAGTGTTGGCAATGGAGGAGGTAAGATGCGCGCGCACACACACTAGGAGGTTGGTATTATAATGTACTTGCTGGCATCAGATGCTCTCCAAAGGAAGGAAATTACAGAGGAGTTCTTCCGTTACAGGAGCCAGACACAAGCAAATCTCTGGGATGATTATTCTGCATATGAACACGGCCAAAATTGAGGTACCAATTTCTACTGCTAGTTTCAAGATTTTTTTCCAGACATTATTTATGTTCTTTCCTAGACTTCTTTGAACACATGAATGAAAATAGCATCAGTCTGGTTAATTTCAAAAGTATGATCTCTTAACTTGCACGGATACCTGGTTGAGCTCTTTATTTGCAAAAAATTCCATGCCCGGTGATTGTTCTGTCTCCATTGTGTTAGATATATATGGTGTATAGCATATTTTCCTCTTTGTATAAGGGCTTAGATGCATATATGCCCAACTCATGTACATGTTTGGGTCGTTGCCCCCAGGAATAGAGTGAGCTTCATTCCTTCTAACATGGTATCAGAGCCTAGGATCTAGGGATTACCTCGCTCTCTCGCGCGCTCTTCCCGTTGCGCTTGCCTGGAGCTCCGCCGCCCGTCGGCTCTCTCCCTCGCGTGCTCTCAGCTCTCTCCCTCGCGTGCTCTTCCCGTTGCACGCTCCGTAGTTGGGCGTGGCCCCGCCGTCGCGCGCTCTCCGCGGCCGAGCGCGGTCTCGCCATCACGCGCCCTCTGCGGTCGGCGCGGCCCCGCCGTCGCGCGTCCTCATGGCCCCGTCGCTGGGCGCCCCGCCGCCGCACGCCCTTCCTCCGCTGCTCTGCTGGGCGCAGCTCTGCTCTGCGGCCGTCCGTTCGAGTGCGTTGTTTTTCTGCTTTGCTGCTTGCTCTGTTTTAGATTAGGTTAAAAAAAAGAGTCAGATCCCGCTTTGCTGCTGCTGGTTTTTCTGCTTTTCTGGAGAAAGAAAGATGGCATCTCCTCATGTTCCTCCCTCTAGAGGCGCTCAAATCCCGCGTTGTCCAGTGATTTTCGATGACACCAATTATCATGACTGGGTTCCACATATGCGGTGGCATATGCGTGGTCTCCGACTCTGGGAGTTTCTTAGTGGTGAGCTACCTTGTCCAGCATTGCCTGATCATCCAGTGCAGCCGGTGATTCCTCCAGAAAATTCTGAAGAGGAACAAAAGAAGTTGCGCGAAGCTTATGATGATGATATGGCCTCTTACATGTCTCATTTTCGGGCTTATCGGACTTGGTTGGATGAAGATGCTCGTGCTAGGGCTGTTCTTGTTGCTAGTATGGAAAAGCATCTGGCAGGAGAGGTTATTTGGCTTGATCATGCTGCTCAGATGTGGGCTGTTCTTCGTCAGCGTTATGAGCCCTCTGGTCAGTCTACTTATATTGCTGCCCTACGTCAAGAACAACTGTTGCAGCAGGGTGACAGTTCAGTTGAGGATTTCTTTCGACAGCTATCTACAATATGGCGTGAGCTTGACACTCTTAGTCCTCAGTTGTCCCTGGACACTTGTGACTCCTGCAGGAAGCAACAGAGCCACCTCGAGCTTCGTCGCACCTATGACTTCCTGACTCGTCTGCGTGCTAAGTTTGAGCCCTTTCGTGCTCAATTACTTGCTCATGAGCCGTGCGTGTCTTTGATGGAGGCTCTTGCTGCTGTTCGTAATGAGGAGACTCGCCTTCGTTCTGCTGGTGTACTTCAGTCGACGTCCTCCTTAGTTCTGGCTGCTCAGTCTGGAATTCTTGGTTCTCCTCCCAAAGTGCCTGCTTCAGCAGCCTCTGGCGGCTTGGGGACTCACAACTCAGGTGGCCTTCATTATAAGCACTGTGACAGAGATGGACATGATGAGGATCATTGTTACAAGAAGAAGAGGCAAGCTCAGTCTTAGTCTCACCGAGGTGGGCGTTCCTCACATGCTTAGTCTCAGCATCTTGATGCATAGCAGGAGATACTCATGTTACTTCGTCGTCTTGCTGTTCCTCCACCTACTGGAGCTTCTGGTTCTGTCACTACTGGAGCTGCTGGTTCTGTCACTCCTGCCCCAGTACTCTCTGCTGTTACTTCTCAGTCTTTTATTGAGAGACCACCATCCACTTCAGGTATGTTGCCATGGATTCTTGATTCTGGTGCTTCTTTTCATATGACACCTGATAGTACCTCTCTTTCTTCTATTTGCTCTCCTTCCATTCCTCTCACTGTTCAAACTGCTGATGGCTCATCTCTTTCGGTTGTTGGTCGTGGCACTCTTTCTTCTTCTTCATTTCATGTTCCTAATGTTTCTTATGTTCCTGATTTGACCATGCAACTTATTTCTGCTGGCCAGCTCACTGATCATGGTTGTCGTGTTATTTTTTATTCTGACTCTTGCCATGTTCAGGATCTCAGCACAGGTCTCCTAGTTGGTACTAGCCCTTGCCGCCGTGATTCTCCGCATCTCTGGGAACTCGATTGGCTTCGTCTTCCTTCTGCTGCCTCTGCCGGTCTTGTGAGCTCTGCTTCTCCTGCATCGGCTTCTTCCTCTTTTGCTCAATGGCATCATCGCCTGGGACATCTATGTGGTTCCCGCTTATCCGCTCTTATCCATCGTGGTGTTCTAGGAAATGTCTCTGGTGATGTTTCTTTAGATCAGTGTCAGGGCTGTAAGCTTGGCAAACAGATCCATCTTCCATATCTCTCTAGTAGGTCTGTGTCAGCGTCCTTTTGAGCTTGTTCATTCAGGTGTATGGGGTCCTGCACCTTTTGTTTCAAAAGGGGGTCATCAATATTATGTCATATTTATCGATGATTTCTCTCGCTTCATATGGGTGTATTTCATTAAACATTGTAATGAGGTGTTATCCATATATAAAACTTTTGCTCGGATGATTCGCACTCATTTTGATGCTCCTATTTGTGTTTTTCGGGCTAACTCTGCCGGGGAATATCTTTCGGGTGCTCTTCGCCAATTTCTTTCTGAGCAAGGGACTCTCTCACAATTCTCTTGTCCTAGTGCGCACGCTCAAAATGGTGTTGCTGAGCGTAAACATCGTCACCTTCTTGAAACTGCTCGTGCTCTTATGATTGCTTCCTCGGTCCCACCTCATTTTTGGGCTGAAGCAATCTCCACTGTCACCTATTTAACCAACATTCAACCCTCATCTGCTCTTAAAGGTGGCATCCCATATGAGCGCCTTTTTGGACATCCACCTGATTACTCTAGTCTTCGCCTTTTTGGATGTCTGTGCTATGTTCTTCTTGCTCCTCATGAACGCGCTAAACTCACCCATCAATCTGTTGAGTGTGTTTTCTTAGGCTATAGTGCTGAGCACAAGGGCTATCGTTGTTGGGACCCGACTGCTCGTTGTATGCGGATCTCTCGGGACGTTTCTTTTGATGAGTCTCGTTCCTTCTATCCTCGGCCCTCCTCTGATGTTTCTCCTCAGGCCGTTGTTGAGCCTCTATCCTTCTTGACTTTTCCTGGTACACCTATCTCCACTGTGCTTCTTCCTCCGTCACCATCTCCACCTCCTAAACCATCTTCACCTCCTCCACCTTCTCCTCCGCTGCCCTCTGAGTCGTCTTCACATGCTCCTTGGTCCATTTATGATTCCAAACCTCCCGTGATTCACACCTACAGTTGTCGGCTCCTAGATTCCTCGCCTCTTGTTGAGTTGCCTTCTGATGTCTCCTCTCCTGCTAAGCCATCTTCGGTTGACGATTCTTTATCTCAGCCCTCCTCTCATTATAATCTTCGCGATCGTAGCTCACTGAAGCCTCTTGATAGGTATGGTTTTGCTGGCACTGTCTTTCTGAGCCGGCCACATACCATGATGCCATTTGTCATCCTGAATGGCAACTAGCCATGGCTGAGGAGATTGCTGCTCTTGAGCGCACTGGCACTTGGGACCTTGTCCCTCTTCCTTCTCATGCTCGTCCCATCACGTGTAAGTGGGTTTATAAGATCAAGACTCGCTCTGATGGCTCTCTCGAGCGTTATAAGGCTCGTCTTGTTGCTCGTGGTTTTCAGCAAGAGTATGGTCGTGATTATGATGAGACATTTGCTCCTGTGGCTCACATGACCATTGTTTGCACTCTCCTTGTTGTGGCCTCTGTTCATGCTTGGTCCATTTCTCAACTTGATGTCAAAAATGCCTTCCTTAATGGTGAACTCCGTGAGGAGGTCTACATGCGACCACCTCCTGGGTATCTTGTTCCTGATGGCATGGTTTGTCGTCTTCGTCGCTCTCTTTATGGTCTGAAACAAGCTCCTCATGCTTGGTTTCAGTGCTTTGCCTCTGTGATCATTGCTGCTGGTTTTTCCCCAAGCAATCATGACCCTGCCTTGTTTATTCACACATCCCCTCGTGGTCGCACTCTTCTTCTTCTTCTTTATGTTGATGATATGATTATCACTGGTGATGATTCTAAGTATATTGCCTTTGTCAAGGCACGCCACAGCGAGCAGTTTCTTATGTCTGATCTTGGTCCTCTTCGTTATTTCCTTGGGATTGAGGTCTCTTCCACCTCTGATGGCATTTACTTATCCCAAGAAAAATACATTCAGGATCTTCTTGCTTGCTCTTGCCTCACTGATCATCACACTGTTGAGACTCCCATCGAGCTTAATCTTCAGCTCCGTGCTATTGATGGTAAACCTCTCACCGACCCCACTCGGTATCGTCATATTGTTGGGAGTCTTGTCTATCTAGCTGTGACCTGTCTTGATATCTCATATGATGTACACATTCTTAGTCAATTTGTTTCTTCTCCCATCCATGTCCATTATAGCCATCTTCTTCGTATCTTGCGTTATCTTCGTGGGACCATTACTCGTCGTCTGTTCTTCCCGCGTTCTAGCTCTTTTCAACTCCAAGCCTACTCTGATGCTACTTGGGCTAGTGACTCTGATCGTCACTCTCTTTCTGCCTATTGTATTTGTCTTGGTGGCTCTCTCATTGCTTGGAAGACAAAGAAGCAGACCGCGGTCTCTCGTTCGAGTGCAGAGGCCGAGTTGCGAGCTATAGCTCTTGCGACAACAGAGGTTACTTGGCTTCGATGGTTACTTGAGAATTTCGGTGTTTCAGTTTCTATGCCCACTCCTCTTCTGTCTGACAGTACCAGTGCTATCAATATAGCTCGTGATCCTGTGAAGCATGAGCTCACCAAGCATATAGGAGTTGATGCATATTACACTCGGGCTCAGGTGCAGGATGATGTCATTGCTCTTCTCTATGTACCCTCCGAGCTTCAGGTGGCTGATTTCTTCACCAAGGCGCAGACACGAGTTCAACATCATTTCTTTCTCTCCAAACTCAGTGTTTGTGATTCACCCTGAGTTTGAGGGGGGGGTGTTAGATATATATGGTGTATAGCATATTTTCCTCTTTGTATAAGGGCTTAGATGCATATATGCCCAACTCATGTACATGTTTGGGTCGTTGCCCCCAAGAATAGAGTGAGCTTCATTCCTTCTAACACATTGTTCCCAGGTTTCAAAAGACAAGGTCGAACTTCCTGAACTCCAGGATTTGCTTAGGAAGTGTTTCCATGTGGATGCATATGGGTACGCATGGAGCTGGGCCCCACAGGAACCCTAGCAAAGCCAAGTATGAAGGATCTTGATTATATAGAGAAGCTGCTGCAGTTGATGGAAAAGGAGATACCCGCACCTGGACCTATTGAGCAGCGTTGGACTGCCCGCAGCAAGAGTCCAATGAGCCCAGCATCAAGCTCTGAAGATGATGTGTTTTCATGGGTAATTAATTTGTCATGTCCAATAGTTTTTTTTTCTGTATGTTTAATCTGTGCTGCTACTGCCACGTCTTCACCTACCTCAAAGCTCTTTTGCAACTCATACCTCCTTGCTGTATAATTTGGTTAAAAAAAGTGATATTTTGCAATTCGATTGTAACCTCTACTCCGTTCTGATAGTTTCTGCTAAATATAGTAGCAGAACTTGCTCTCTTGCAGTCTTGCTTCCTTCTACTCTTACAAATACAGGGGGAAATCCTTTCTTTAGTGTAGATGATAGTACCAAATTGTTCTACTGTATGTACTTGTTGTCTTGCTCATGTTTCTGAGTCAATCACATATATCCTGAAGCAGTTGCACGTTACAACTCATAACTGCTTTGGAAAGCTCACCTCATGCATCTTCTAATAAATCATATGTAATGCCTGTCTTGCAATACCTTGTTCTAGTTTACACTAGCTATGTATAGTCTCGGTGAACAACTTACTGGGATCCATGCAGGTTGGTATTCCAACATCAGATGCTCACCAAAGGAAGGAAATTACAGAGGAGTTCTTCAATTACAGGAGCCTGGCGCAAAGTCTCTGGGATGATTATTCTGCCTATGAACACTGGACGAAAATCGAGGTACCAATTTTTACTACTAGTTTCAAGATTTATTCAGACATTGTTTGTGTCATTCCTCGGCTTCACACAAGTGAAAATAGCATCAGTCTGGTTAATTTCAAAAGTACGACCTCTTCACTTGCACGGATACCTGGCTGAGTTCTTTGCATAAATTTCATGACTGGTGGTTATTCTGTTTGCATCTTCCTAGGTTCCAGAAGACCAGGACGAACTTGCTGAACTTCAAGCTAGGCTGAGGAAGCGTTTCCCTGTGGATGCATATAATGTAACAAGGCACGTATGGCTGGACCCCTCATATGCGAAGTTAGAGAAGCTGTTCCTAGTGTTGGAGCCTGTCACTACAGGAAACCGGGACTTTGCCCAGTGCTGGAATCTTTGCCGAGTGCCAAATATCGGGCACTCGGCAAAGGCCACCTTTGCCGAGTGCCGGACTCGGCGAAACTTGGCACTCGACAAATAGGTCTTTGCCGAGTGTCTGGCACTCGGCAAAATACGACACTCGACAAAGTTGGGCACTCGGCAAAGAGGCGCCCGGGATAACGGTGCCCGACGCCGGCCTCTTTGCCGAGTGCCTTCTGTTTGGCACTCGGCAAAATATTGGCTTTGCCGAGTGCCTAGGGCTAGCACTCGGCAAAGTATTCACTTTGCCGAGTGCTAAACCTTAGCACTCGGCAAAATAATTTTTTTTTTGTTTTTTGCCACCAACTTTTTTTATTAGATTTTCATTTGTACCATGAACAACATGTTCAAATTTGGCATAATTTCATTGTTGTTTGCTATATTTCTTCACTTTATTTCGTTTTCTTGCAATTATCTAGAAAATGTAGGTTTGAACTGCAGGTGCATCGAATAATAGTTTTGATCCATTCCAAAAATGTTATTCTTGTTTGTTAGTGTCACTTTATGCTAAATCAAGGCTGCAATTTGATATCAGCGTGCTCGCCAAGCGTCATGAACTTGCGTGGAGTGGTTATTTAATTCTATAAAATTCAAATAAACCGAAAATCATGAAACTTGGTGAGTTCGTGATATCACATGCATATCACGGTGAGTAAAAATTTGAAAATGTTTGGAGGCGTCAGACGTATGGTGTTTGATTTAGCATAAAGTGACACTATCAAACAAGAATAACATTTTTGGAATGGATCAAAACTATCAAACTAATTCGATGCACCTACAGCAGCTCAAACCTACATTTTTGGAATGGAAAATTACAAGAAAACGAAATAAAGTGAAGAAATATAGCAGTGAAAAGAATGAAATTGTGCCAAATTTGAACATGTTGTTCATGGTACAAATACAAATCTAAGAAAAAGTTGGTGGCAAAAAAAAAAAAAAATTATTTATTTTGCCGAGTGCCAAGGTTTGGCACTTTCGTGAAGTATTTTGCCGAGTGCTAGCTCTAGGCACTTCGGCAAAGCCAGGGACAGATTTTTTTTAATTTTTATTTCACGAGTGTCGGATCGGGGCACTTTCGGCAAAATAGTTTCTTTTTGCCGAGTGCCCGGATCCGCACTTTCGGCAAAGAGGTTTGAAATATATAAAAACCGGACACAACACACACCACGCACACACAGACACACACACACACACGCCAGCCAGCCAGCCCGCCAGCACAGCCAGTCAAGCCCGCACGCCGCTGCCCCCGCACCCCTGTGCGCGCCCGCCCGCCCAGCCAGCCGCCGCCCGCCGGCCCGCGCCCGCCCCAGCCGCCATGCAGCATGCATGAGGGAAGGAGGAGGAGGTAGGAGGAAGAGGAGGAAGGAAAGGGAAGAGAAGAAGGGAGGAGGAAGAAGAAGAAAGAGAAGGAGGAGAGAAGGAGAGGGGAGAAGAGGAGAAGAAAGGTGCCGCCTCGGTTCGTCGACCCTCACGCTGTAGTAGTGGTCGTCCCGTTGTCGTCGCCGGGCCTCGGTCTTCGCATTCTTCTTTGGCAAGGTATGCCCTAATGTTAGTATTAGTTAGTAAGTAGTAGTGTTAGTAGTAGTAGTTAATTAGTAGTGTTAGTATTAGTTAGTAAGTCGAGTGATGTAGTAGTTGTAGTTGTTGTTCATAGTTTTAGTGTTAGTAGTAGTTATTGTTGTATGTATGTGGTTGATGGCCTTCGTGCCTATGTTTGGTATACATGTGGTTGTTGGCCTTCGTGCCAATGTTTTTCTGCAGTTTTGGGAACCTCTCCGTGTGGGGGGAGTCTTTGCCAAAATTTTCAATGGAGTCTAACCATTTGCCTTTTCTTTGCGGGGACGAGGACCGTTGGGAGGCACTCGGTGACCCCGATCGTCTGCGTTGGCGTTATGTTACGCCTACACCGCGTCGCCTCGCCGCTGCGAGCGACTCGCCACCGCCCCACTAGCGACCTCACCGACACCCTAGGTATAACCCATCTTGCATACTTGCATCTCGTGTAACCCGATTAAGCGTCTCCCGTCCAAAAAGAGATATACGGTCGTTGGTATGCAGATCTTTGCATACCAAATTCTGTACCTGTTTTGGATTGTCCACGTTTTTTGGACAGCCCACGGATGCGTAGATGGGTTGGTTTCCATGGGCACTTCCTCCGGGGGGTGGCGGGGGGTGACACTTCCTCCTGGGGGGTGGCGGGGGGTTCCACTTCGAGCACCTCATCGGCACCGTACTTGCGTGGGTCCTCGCAGCTCCCGACGCGGCCGATCCCATTTCAGAGGAGGCCGGTGATTCATCCCAAGGGCGACAAGTAAGTATCCGTTCATTTTGCATCTCTTCTTGTTCATATGCTGAAAACCAAACTGTGGACTAACAATTCTTCTTACTGACTCCTGTAGGAACTGGGAACTTGTGTCTAGGGGCGATCATCGGTAGTGCAATGGGATCCTCGGCGGCCTGATCTGCCTGCACTACCCTGGTTTGGTCACCCACGCCCAGGTTGAGTCGCCTCCCTGGACGTGGGACCACTTCAACTCCGCCGTGGACGTCGTGGTATGCGGCACCACCGTCTGAGCGGATCAGCGTGAGTTCGGGTGAGTCTACATCACACTACATTGCTCAATACTATGGAATCATTAGGCGTTCTTGAAATAATGAAAGGACACATGATGTCTCAGATGCAGGACTTCTTCACGTTGGAGGAGGGCATGACCCGCTTTGGGTGACGAAGGTGCGGGGCCAGGGCATCATGAGGGGCGAGTCACGGACTGTGTACTACGAGGCGAGGCTGTAGTGCCACATCAACCACTCGTGCGACGTCCTTGGTCGGTGCAGAGGAAGAGCGAGGCCGGGACCATGACACTCACCAGGAGCAAGTACCTCAAGTAAGTTATAAAACATTGTTCATGACTCATTCCATGAAGAATAGGTAGCCTTCATTTTATATTCTAACATTTCTAATACAATACTTGATGGCATGCAGATGTGTCCTTCTTGGTGCGCCGAGCACGAGATCATGTGGCGGCCATCGTGGACAAGTGGGTCTCCGATGAGTGGAGGGAGAGGCACGCCCTCCGTCGAGAGTGCCGCTGCAGATGGGTGGGTGGGCGGCGCACCACCAAGGCAACCGGCCCCCCTCGGTTAAAGACGCCCTAGGCACAGGTACACGCCACGCACTTATTTATTTATTTGTTCTAACGCTCAATTCTCATTACTTCTAATCGTCTTTGTGTTTTCTGGCGGTCCCGATGCGCATGATGGCCAGGAATGCAACGAGTTCATGGTGTACGCCGCCATGGCACACAAGGGCAAAGCGACAGCCCCGGACACCGTCTACAACCCGGAGGATGGGCCGAGGCGCGACAAACAACACGAAGCGTCCACAAGCAAGCTCACCGACTATGCCTCGGCGGCCCGCGAGTGGCATGGGGAGTACTTCGACCCCGCCACCCAGCCCCTTGATACCGACCTCGTGATGAGGCTCGGAGGAGGGAAGCAGCACGGCCGGTACTAGATGGCCTCCAACATGGTCGACTCGACCTCTGTGCCCAACCTCACCCAGATCCGAGCACAGAGCACGAGCTCCTCCGTCCCCATTCGACCTCGGCAAAGCGAGTGACACTGCTGCGATGAGATGGCGGCACTCCAGAGTTAGTTCTATTTTATTCGCCGTTCATTACTTTTACACATGTACCTTGCATTTGCATTGTTTAAACATTGGTGATTGAATATTGCGAGCCCTTTGTGGAGAGGATGGAGGCCGAGAGGGAGGGAGAGAGGGTCGAGAGGGAGAGGGAGAGGGCCAGAGGGAGGCCGAGAGGGCCGAGTGGGAGCTCCCGAGGGCCCGGAGGAGGGCGGCCGAGGCGCAGAGGATGCAGGACATGTTCTCATTCATGTCGAGCCTCGGCACCACTCTCGGGGTGTGGTGGTGGTGCCCAGTCATTGCTCGCTCGGTTGTGCCTCCTACTCCTCGGCTCTAGGCACTCCGGTGAGTATATATATATGGTTGATCAAGTCCTTTAGCTTGTGTAGATACTAATGAATTCAATTCTCCTTTGTGCAATGATCGTCGGGTTTGAACCCGACTCCTTCGCCTCAAAGACACACACACCCGGTGGGCAGGTCCACCACCTGCACGGAGGTGTGCCCCTTGAGCTCCCATTGGGATCGGTGGCGGTGAGGTGGTGCCCCTTCATGTTTCATTGACTTTTCTTGATTTAGGACTTGTGTTGGATGAAGACTTCTTAGATGTTGTCATGGATTTGCACATTGGATGTGCGTGTGATGGATTATGCCGGAGGATGTGCTTGTGATGGATGTTGAATGTGCTTGTGATGTATTATGGATTATGTATGCGTTTTGTGTGATGCTAAATGCTTGTGTGCTGTCTCATGTATTATATATGAGTTTTGTGTGTTTGCTTTCGAAGGAAAGCAACAAACAAAAAAAATTGCAAATTTCCTAGCTTTGCCGAGTGCCAGGGGTGTGGCACTCGGCAAAGCTGGGAAAAAATGCCGCAAAAAACAGCCACTTCCCCAATTTTGCCGAGTGCCACAGCCTGGCACTCGGCAAAGAGGTCACCGAGTGTCACAGCCTGGCACTCGGCAAAGAGGTACATTTTGCCGAGTGCCACAGCCTGACACTCGGCAAAGAGGTCAATTTTGCCGAGTGCCAGATGGTACCACTCGGCAAAGACTATTTTTAAAAAGATTTTTTTAAAAAAAATTGTTTCTTTGCCGAGTGCTCAGCCCTGGCTCTCGGTAAACATTCAAATTTTGCCGAGTGCCAGTCCCTAGGCACTCGGCAAAGCCGGTGTTAAATGTTGTCGGCAGTTATTTTTTTGCCGAGTGCGGGCTTGGCACTCGGCAAAGACTTTGTCGAGTGTCGATTTTTGGCACTCGGCAAAGAAATTTTTGCCGACAAAGTCTTTGCCGAGAGGCCTTTGCCGAGTGCGGCACTCGGCAAAGCCTTTGCCGAGTGCTTGCCTGGCTTTGCCGAGTGCCCCCAGCACTCGGCAAAGAGGGCGTCTGCAGTTGTGTGTTCACCAAGCAAAGTAACATGTGTTAAAGAGCGAGGGCAGATAACTTTTTACTTGTTATTGATGCTAGATCGAAGAGCAGAGCTACCAGCGTGCGCTGTAGGTGGATTACAGACACGCAGAGTTACATTCGTTGCAGGATGCTTAAGCCATCACATTTGTAACTCTGTTCCTATCATGATACTCTGATCCTGTCGAATGAGATGGTGATTGAGATTTGTCACTCAAAATAGAGTATAGAAAGCAAATTGATGATTCAATCTGTAGCAGCAGCAAACTAGAACTTTACTGCCTATATTTTTGTTGAAATCCTATATTGTTACTTCCAACTGTGCTGCAGTTAGCACTGGAAGCAAATCCTGTTCTTGTGACATTTATTCTCTTTTATTTGAGCCATGGACGCTTGGACCCGTCCCAGTCTTTAGGAGTCTTGGCGGATGGTGTGGCCTGAAGATGGGAACACAACAGACATGTGACAAATCCTACATGGCTGTGGGAGAACTTTGGAGAAATCATTGTGGGAGAACTTTGGAAAAATCTAACCAGCTTGTATTTTCAAAGTTTAAAATAGAAACGTTACGTGGTGGAGCGTAGTTACAAATCTGTAGTGTCAATAATTGTCACATAAAACTTGTATGGTCTTTGATCTGTTTGAACCTTTTGAACATGTGCTGCCACACACAAAAAAAAAAATGCTGTGCAGTTTACGATACTTGAACCTTAATTCTATTAAATCCGTATACAAAAATTTCAGATTAGATTCATCATTCCATCCATGCGCATATTTAAATATCGAAATTTTTCTATGTGGAAATAGAAAAAAGAACAGTCAAAAAAAAACATGCTGTGCAGTTTACGATACTTGAACCTTAATTCTATTAAATTCGTATACAAAAATTTCAGATTAGATTCATCATTCCATCCATGCGCATATTTAAATATCGAAATTTTTCTATGTGGAAATAGAAAAAAGAACAGTCCATTTATCCAGGACAGAAAAGGCTTCCTGACCCCGACCGGAAAAAGGCAAAAACCTTCCTGACCTGTCACCCGCGGCCGCCGCCGCCACCGACCGACGTTCCAGGCTTCCAGCTCCTGCCCTCACAGAGTCAGCCACTCCACACAACGCAGCATTCGCGGCTCCGCCCAGCTCACGTGAGCAGCTCTGCTTCACCGGTTCAGAGCGTCACGCGGCGCCGTCCGTGCCGTGCTGCTCCGCACGGAGCCAGTAGCCGCGCACGCGCCCCGTCGGCATGTCGCGCAGCGTCAGCGCCGCCCGCGACAGGTGCTTGGAGCTGGAGCGCGTCATCGCCGGCCGCGCCCGGTCGGGAAGCCTCGGCCTCGACGACGCGCTCAAGCTGTTCGACGAAATGCTTCCCCACGCCAGGCCCGCTTCGGTTACCGCCTTCAACCACCTCCTCAATGTTGTGTCTCGTGCCTTGTGCCGGCGCTCCTCCACCTTAGAGTCAGGGCTCGTCATCTCCCTCTTCAACCGGATGGTACGTGACTGCTCCATCAAGGTGGCTCCCAACCTTTGCACCTACAACATCCTCATCGGCTGCTGCTGCCGCATGGGCCGCCTGGAGCATGGCTTCGCCGCCTTTGGCCTCATCCTTAAGACTGGCTGGAGCATGGCTTCGCCTGAAGCACCTATAATCATCAATCAACTGCTCAAGGGCCTCTGTGACGCCAAGAGGGTGGGTGAGGCCATGGACATATTGCTCTGACAAATGCCCGAAGTTGGATGCACGCCCAGTGTAGTTTCATACAACACACTTCTCAAGGGTTTCTGTGATGAAAAGAGAGCCGAGGAGGCACTTGAGCTGCTCCACATGATGTCTGATGGTCAAGGTAGTAGCTACCCACCAGATGTGGTGTCATACACCACCGTCATTAAGGGTTTCTTTAGTGAAGGTCAGGTGGATAAAGCTTGCAGCCTGTTCGTTGAAATGGGTGTTTCACCGAATGTTGTGACATACAATACAATCATTGATGGTCTGTGCAAAGCTCAATCAGTTGACAGGGCCAAGGGCGTCTTTCAGCAAATGATTGATAAAGGTGTCAAGCCAGACAATGAGACATATAACTGTCTCATCCATGGATACCTCTCAACAGGACAGTGGGAAGAGGTGGTTCAAAGGCTCAAAGAAATGTCCACATGTGGTCTTGAGCCAGATGCTTTTACCTATGGTTTGCTACTGGACTATCTATGCAAGAATGGAAAGTGCAGTGAAGCTCGAATTTTTTTTGATTCTATGATTAGGAAGGGCATAAAACCTAGTGTAACTACCTATGGCATTATGCTTCATGGATATGGTAACAAAGGAGCTCTTTCTGAAATGCATGATCTCCTGAATTTGATGGTAGCAAATGGTATTTCACCTAATCATTACATCTTCAACACTGTGATCTGTGCATATGCTAAAAGGGCAATGATAGATGAGGTGATGCATATATTTATCAAAATGAAGCAGCAAGGTTTGAATCCAGATGTCGTTAGTTATGGAGCATTAATAGATGCACTTTGCAAGTTGGGAAGAGTGGATGATGCTTTGCTCCAATTCAATCATATGATCAATGAAGGAGTGACTCCTAACATTGTAGTTTTTACCTCCCTTGTTTATGGACTTTGCACTGTTGACAAATGGGAGAAGGTTGAGGAATTATTTCTCAAAATGTTGAATCAAGGGATTCGCCCTAACATCGTTTTCTTCGACACAATATTGTGTAACTTATGCAGAGAAGGACGGGTTATGGAAGCCCGAAGGCACACTGACTCGATGGTATGCATGGGTGTCAAGCCTGATGTTATCTCATACAACACATTAATAGATGGCCACTGTTTAGCCAATAGAATTGATGAAGCGTCACAGCTACTTGATAGTATGGCCTCAGTTGGCTTGAAACCTGACATTTTTTCTTATGATACATTGCTTAATGGCTATTGTAAAGCTGGCAGGATAGATAATGCATATTGTCTTTTCCGAGAAATGTTGAGGAAGGGAGTTATGCCTGGAGTTGTGACTTACAATACTATACTGCATGGTTTGTTTCAGACTAGAAGATTTTCTGAAGCAAAGGAACTGTGCCTCAATATGATTAAAAGTGAAAAACAGTGGTCCATTCGCACATACAGCATAATTCTAAATGGGCTTTGCAAAAACAATTGTGTTGATGAAGCATTCAAAATGTTTCGGAGCGTGTGTTCTAAGGATCTTGAACTTGACATTATTACTTTCAACATCATGATTGATGCTTTGTTCAAAGGTGGCAGAAAGGAAGATGCCATGCATTTGTTTGCTGCTATCCCTGCTAATGGTTTGGTTCCAGATGTTGTGACCTACCGCTTAATAGCTGAAAATCTCATAGAAGAAGGGTCGCTAGAGGAGTTTGATGGTCTGTTTTCAGCAATGGAAAAGAGTGGTACTGCTCCAAACTCACGGATGTTAAATGCTCTAGCTAAGAGGTTGTTGCGTAGAGGTGACATAAGCAGGGCTGGGGCTTACCTCTCCAAGCTTGATGAGAAGAACTTCTCACTTGAGGCTTCCACTACTTCCATGCTTATATCACTTTTTCGAGGGAGGATTATCAGCACCATGCAAAGTCCTTGCCTCAAAAGTATCGTTTCTTCAATGAAGCCAACAAATGAGTGTTGAAGAAAAAATGAGTTCAGTTTTCAGCTGTGCTGACATCTTATATGTGAGATGTAAATTTGTTGGAGTGAGTATTCTGTCTTGTGCTCTTACTTTCTTGGCCATGCTCTGTGGTATTCTTCTATAGAAATGTTCTCTTGTTAGTGCACTTCAGCATGAGGTTTCTGAACAGGTAAAATAATCGTGTGTGCAGTCCTAGTTAGCTTGACAGCAGTAATCAGATGCATTTATTGCATAATTTGTGAAGAAACCCTGCCCTTCCGGATTCCTATAATTTAAGCATGTGTACACCCCCCCCCAAACACACACACAGCTAGCAGTGTATGATATTTGCTATGGTTTTTACCTAACACAAGCAATGTTAAGAGCAACATTCCTATACATATTTCTACAAGACACTCCTTGATTTATTTATTTTTCATCTCGTAGTATCTGTCTTTTGTATGCTGTGTTGATCATGAGTGCAACTACGCATATAGTGTATCTCTGCAGTTCTTCGGAAATGCTGTTAGAACTTTTCCCCTTCCTTATGCAGTCAGCGCACCCCTATTTTTCTTGCTTTATTCGTGTTGTAACATGTAACATTTTAATTCTGCCATTGGATTGAAATCCATTAGCTAGGTTAGTTGGGGGAGATGTCTCTGTACTTATTAAGTGTCGACTGCAAGAGGAACAATGTGTAATTAGCAAGAGAATTCCTTGCATGATGACCAAATGGTTGGATTGTAATTGAGTTGTACTCAAGTGGTTGCACTTTAAGTATTTCCCATTAGATACTAACTGGACCCTATTATTATTGTTCTTGTAACAGGGAAAGAAGGTAAGAGTTTCTTCCTCCTAGGCTCAGGACATGCTATTATTGCGAATGTACACTATGATTTGGACACTGGGTGATTTAAAAAATGCAGTGGAAGAAGTTGGCTCAGGAGTTTAAAAGTCTCTAGAAGGTATGGATAAAATAGTAGATTTTGTTGAACATCTTTAGTGGGCATCATTACAGTTGGTTTAATCTGAATGGCACCAATTTCAGATGGCAATAAGGGTTATGACTTTATTGAATACTACAGGCAGGCATGCGTAGAGTATGCTAAGCAGAAGATGTCTACTCCAGAATTCAAAATAGATATAAATGCTCCTACTGTCAGTTAGGCAGATCTTAAGAATGGTGGTGAATCAGCCTCTACTGCGCAGGTTTTTTTAGCATCGTATGACAGAATGGTACCTTTTATGTTTCTTCTTTCATGATATTGTATATCAGTATATGGATGTGCATTTTTGTCTTCATGTTAAATCTCTATATGTCAAAAACCTGCCCAAGACTGTTACTCAAGAGCAGCTTAAAAAGCTATCTGAGTGACAAATTACAGAAGTTGTTCTTTCTCCTGCAAAATGTGGTCACGAAGATGAGTGCGGTTTTGTTTACTTTAAGGAACAGTCCATGTCTAAGCTCTTGATGACAAGTTTCCTTCGTTCTGTGACATCTTTCTATAGCCAATCAATTTTTCTTCACGTATCCAGGAGATCCCACTTTTTTTTCGCCAACAGGTCATCTTCTGGGTTGTTCACATACAAAACCTCCTGCTGATAGTACTGTAAAATTATCTTCTGCTAAAGGCCCACTTATAATCTACTTGCAAATGACTGGCAAACGCTTACAGTCACTTGAAAATGGACTGACAGGCGTTTACAATTCACTTGGAAGTGGACTAACAGTAGCACAGATACTTATGGTGTGCTTCCTGGTCATGCTTCACAGGTGGATGACATCTTATGTTTGAAACCGCCCCAAATGTGTTTTTTTTTTTTTTTGCAAACAAGCAGTAGAGTTGACGCAATCCAATTATATTATGAAAAAAAGAGCAAAATACAAAAAGGATCCCAGAAGGGCTTTAATACCTTGCAGGACACCTACACCCCCACACTGAAACACACATACACACACAAAACAGCTCACACTGGCCCATACAGGAGGATGATATTGTTCTTACTGTTGTATATCTTTGGCACTCTTGCACCCCTTTTTTTGTGACAGGACACTCCTGCACTTGTGCAGGCAATGTTGTTTGCTCCTGCTGCTGCTCCACCAAGTTAACAATGATCCCAATGGTTCTAGAGAAAATTTGCTCATTGCCATCAAAATCTATACTGCTTCCCTCATTGCCATAAAAAATAATAGCTTTCCTTATCTGCCATCAATTTGTGTTTTTTGTTTCCTCAACTGCCATCACCGTTACATATATGTATTTTATTTCCTTAACTGCCATCTAATTACGTAGTTTGTTTCCTTGATTGCCATCACTGTTACGTAATGCGTGTGTCTCCGTGTTAACTTGAAGTGAGAGGTCCGGGTTTGCCCCTGCCCCTGACCCAATGAAAGCATTGGCCCAAGGCTTTCGTTCCCTTCCCAACCACAAGAACTCACCAGCCTTGGAAAAAAAAGAGACAGAGAAATCCCCGACGCGAACCCTAGGTACCCGACCGCCCGCGCCTGATCCCGCTCGCCCGCGCGGCCGGGAGACGCCGCCGCCGCCACCCGCGGGGCCGGGCGCCGCCGCCCCCACCCGCGAGGCCGGGCGCCGCCGCCTCCACCGACGCGGCCGGGCGCCTGGGCTCGTGCCGCGGGGCGCCGCCGTCGTGACCCAGCCGGACGCCGCCAACGAACGGACACCGACCGACGCCGGACGACACCACCGGCCGCCGCGTCTCCTTTGGCCCAACCGACCACCCCACCTCCCTGCACATGATCTAAGGAGAGCAGGTTAGTAGCAGAGGGAGGCATGGCGACGTCGGGACACAGCCCCGACACATCATGGCTTCCTACAGGGTAATTACTTATGCTCTTTGTTTCTCTTCTTTTATCTCTTGTCGATTAGAAGATTAGGAGCACGAACGAGTAGATTTTGATGGGTGTGCATAGTTTTGATAGCATATGGATTCACAGGATGGACCCTGAGTCTAGCTACCTGCTGAATATCAGACTTTCTGGGAATCCTAAAAAGCGTAGGAAGGAGTTTGCATGCTTTCATATCTCTAAGGTTATTAATGCTGATCGATGCAATTTTAAGAATCTTGTCGAAGAAATTGTCGATGCATATCCACATGGCTACAATGAAGTAGTATATGTTTTTTACTATAATGAACTCCAAAAGATCTTCCCTCAAGTCACAACAGATCAAGAACTTCTTGCAATGTTCAACAAACATGTCCATAGCAAGGTAGTTCGCATGACCATTACATACACTGAACCCAGAGATGTTGTGTCTATCCCTGAGCCTTATACCTCTAAAAATTCAGAGGTCCTTGATATCCCAAGTACTCCATCTGTGGTTTGTCCAGTTATACCTCAAGCAAGCCAGTCCACTGTGCCTTCCGCTAGCCAGTGGACTATGCCTTCAGCAAGCCAGTCCACTATGCCTTCAAACCAACCTAGCACAAATGAGCCTACTGATGACGATATTCTTGCTGATGATGGTATTCTTGCAAATCCTAAGCCACATAATGAACATGTGGGTATTGATGATGAAGCTGAATACCTGACCCATGGTAAATCTGGACCTGCTCATATTGAGAGCAGTGACTCTGAGTCTGATGAAGAGTATGAGGAAGAGGATGGTCTAGTTCGGAAAGATCCTCTGCCACCTACACCAGTTTTAGCTTATGACAAAAATGATCCACCAATGTGTGTAGGCAGCATATATCCCAACATGCGTGAGTTTAGGTTAGCACTTTCTCAGCATGCTATTAAACATGAATTTGAGTTTAACATCGAAAAGAGTGACCCAGGGAGAGTGAGGGTATATTGTTCAAGGAAGAAAGATGAAGGATGTAGATGGAGATTACATGCTCGTACAATGAAGGACAATATTACAATAAAGGTAATGTTTGTCCAATTGGATTCTTTTTATTGTGTGCTTTATTTTGCAAAATTCTGGGTGTATTGTTCAAGGAAGAGTATTTTATTTAGCTGGCCCCTAAGAACATTTGTTCAATTTGTTGAAATGTATATGCAGGTGAAAAGGAACCCACATAAACATGCATGTTCCAGTGCAAGGAGGAGTAAGGTAGTGAGGAATGCAAGCAAATTCTGGGTGTGTGAACAAGTCAAGGATTGGCTCGCGGAAGATGCGAGCCTAGGAGCTAAAGAATTGGAGAGGCGGATAAAGGATAAGCACAAGATACATGTCCTTTACCGGAGAGTGTATGATGGTATGAAGCTAGCTGATAAACAACTATTTGGTAGTTGGGACAACAGCTTTGACAACCTATATAGGTTTAAGCCAGAGGTTGAAAGGTGCAGCCCTAGAAGTTTTGTAGTCATAGACCAATTGTTGATAAAATCAGATTTAATAGGTTATTTTTTGCTATGAAACCATGCATAGATGGTTTTCTCAAAGGATGGAGACCATACTTGGCCATAGATAGCACCTTTTTGTCAGGAAAGTTTAGGGGACAGCTAGCATGTGCAGTAGCTGTTGACGGACACAATTGGATGTATCCAGTTGCCGTTGGAGTGATAGACTCAGAAACAAATGAAAATTGGATTTAGTTTATGCAAAAGCTTAGAGATGCCATTGGAGCACCTGCAGGCTTAGCTACAGATGCTGGTCAAGGAGTGATGGCAGGAGTGAAGGAAGTGTTCCCAAATGCAGAACATAGAGAGTGCATGCTGCATTTAGTGTCAAACTTCAAGAAAAGGTACGGCGGGAAGATATTTGAGGACCATCTTTGGCCCGCAGCATATTCATGGAGCCCATACTTTTTGGAGAAGCACTGGAAAGTAATGAAAGATGCTAAACCAGAAGCAATGGCTTATATAAGGCAATGGCATACTTAAGATATGGACAAGAAGTCAGTTCTGGACACATTGCAAAGTCGACTATGTGACCAATAATTTAGCAAAGTGCTTCAACAATTGGATCAAGAAGTTCAAAGGTCTGAATTTAGATGACCTTATGGACAAGATTAGGCAACTTGTTATGGATAAGTGGGATGTTAGAAGAACAATCTCAAGAAAGATTCAAGAGATCATTCTGCCACACATCGTCAAGATGTTGAAGGAACAAAGCAGGAACTTGGATATGGATGTACAGAGATGTGGGGATACCGTAGCAGAGGTATCTGTGAGGGGTGGCAGTGGATGGTGACCCTGATGATGTAGCAGCCATGCTAGCTGAGAAGTAAGCATGCTGCCAATGCTCATCTTTTTTTTTTTTGCCACTTGTTATTAATTTCAGATTGCAGCCTTTTAATATTGGATGTGATTCATGAACTGCAGGGGGGAACCGAAGAGGAGAAAGAAATCAATTGAACCATCATGTGAGAGTAGTATTGTCCCAGTTGAAGTAGGACCTAAAACAATGCAGTTTCCTTCTAGGTACGCCTCTGTACACCTAGAGATCTCACATGATTGCAATAGATTTGCAGTTACAGCAATATATTTTGATACTTTAGGTTCTGGAAACTCTCTCTAGTACGCTGAAATTGCAATAGATTTAGTGTTCAGAAATAATTTAGTGTGCTGTCTTAGGGCAATTTGACTTGTACTGTGACTAATTTGAGATAAATATGTGTTTTACCTGAAGCTTAGATGCATAGCTAGTTTGCATTTTCCTACCATATGCTTAGATGCATAGCTTCTCTGTACACTTTCAGAGATCTCACATGTTATATTCTGATTTCTTTTTCTTAAAAATGTATTCTTTTTTTTATTACAGCCAAGACGCTTCAGTTAGCTTAGGTTCTGGAAACTCTCTCAGGTACGCTGAAATTGCAAGTGGATCATGTTCTTGATTATAGTATTCTCAAGATTATACTCTCAAATTGTAAAGTTAATGTTCTGGTTACAACATTCTCAATATTATCCTCCGAAATTGTAGAACTGTCTCACATGCAGGTCTAGAAGTGGCTCAAACCAACCTGATCCACTTGCCATTGAGTACCCTTTTATGTCTTTAGGTGAAACAACACCACCACCTTCCACATCCACGCCTACAGAACAGAAAAAGGATAAAACAAAGGCCAAGGCACAAGTGAAGAAAAAGAAAAAGATGGTTGCAGTGCCACCAGATAGTCCAGCTATGGCGACTAGAAGCAAGACTCCTCTAAACCAAAGTCCTGTTGCACACACTAGAAGCAAGAGGAAACTTCCA